AAAAAGGACTTGTAACTGGTTCTACTTCAAAAACGAGCAGAACTTTTCGGTAGACGGGCCCATTCCCTTCCCTTGACATCACACTATCAGAGAAAAGAATGAAAACAAGCAGAAGTATAAGAAGTAACGACACCGAATAAAAAGAATATTGAGGACTATGGAAAGGAATGCCATTAACCAGTACCGCCAGCGATGATGGAAAGCGCCCCCTTTTATGCGGCATGGGTGAGAACTCGCTAAAGGTTAGGTGTAAGAGCAGCCAGTTGGTAGCCGGCACATGGCTGCAGCTCATACAGGACAATTGACCATATTCACCTACTAATAAAGTTTGCTTAAGCGGATGAGAAAGTCTTAAAGAATTCGCACAAGGTAGAGAAGTAATGATCCATAACCTCATATCGGGCCCTGTTCACCTGTTTTTCTAATAAAAAAGAGAGAATTGACGAACCAGTTTTCTTACTCATCCACGCATTCGTAGTTCCTGTTGCTTTTGAGTGTAGATAAGAAGACGCTGCAGCATAAACAGCCGCGTCAAAATTCGAATAAGAGTTGGAGGAGTCTGAAAATTCGAACTAAACACGTAGCAAAGGAAATACAAGCTGACTGAACCTCAAATACAGCTAAGGCATCTACTACACTTCCACATAAGTAGAGATCGGGAAGACCCTAAGGAATGAAGCTGAAAACAGCCGCAGGTCGGATTAATACTGCTTCAAAACGACAAGCATACAACAACATCTATCCGTACTTCTACTTCAGCACCTTATGTAAATTTTTTAAGGATGTCAGTCTTCATTGCCAATTTCATTTTAGTTGGGCCTTACTTTAACAGCATAAAAACCATAAAACGACGTCTGAACAAGTCTTGAAATCCAACCTTCAGAATTTCAAGAAATGACAAATGCATTCGGAAATCACAGGTGTAGGGAATTTATGTTAACCCAGCACTTGGTGAGCACCGTACTTGTCTTAAAATGACACTAAGTGCTGGGTTGACTTGAATTCCCTACACATGTGTTCTTGTTTTGAGCTCGACTGTGCCTCCAAATGGGGCAAAACAGTCCAATGAAATTGTAAACAAGAACTTCCCTCAGTACAGCGTTCCCGCATCCCTCTTGTTTTCGCGGAAGCGAACCTTAAAAGCCGATGGAAGGTGGCAACTAATGATGTAATATGAACGTCTATCATGCAGTGAAACTCTCTTGGTCACTTTTTTTCGAAGCTCTTGCATGAAAGCACTTCATAGTTGTGATTTTGACAAACGCAAATCAGGAGACCTCATTTATAGTTCAGTTTCAAAGACACTTAGTAATAACATTTTGTCACACAGCAGCTTCACACATGGGGTAAAACCCAATATTGCTTCACACGAGATGCAAAAACACCCACATCATTAAAGTTACAATACCCCTACTATTGGAAACAGTAAGGATTTTCAGAGAATCATTTCTATGTAATCCATTAGAGCATTATCTCTTTGCATATTAAGAAAAATAAGATTATGAATTTCAGTCAACAAAAGATAAAGTTTCTCGCAAACCGGAGTTATCCATTGAATGGCAACCTGGTTTCATTCAAATTTTGGAAAAAACCTCTGTAAGTTCTATATGAAATTTTTTAATGCAGCAAAAGCAAAGATATAGCTAGCCCAAAACTCGCACACCGGTTGTAAATGGCGAAAATGACATCCCTTAAATGGCAGCAGAAGAAATCCAAGTACAGGCAAATATAATTACTTTGAATTTTTAAAGAAGAAAGGTGATACAGTAGAAGTACGCATAAATGAAATGCAAACGTAGCTGAAAATTACTCACTAATTGTAAGGGCGGATTTATTGTTTGTGCTAGCAATTGCAGCAAGAGATTTCGCAGCATGGTTCGTTGCCGTTGCCGTCGGCCTGCCGTACCCAACAGTGGCTCCGGCACTTGGTTGGGCAGAGCCAAAGCCTTAAAGGAGCTAGGCAATCAAACAAGTACAGGGTCTGTCACTACAACTCATGGATGCAAGTAACGAGTGTGGGTGCTTTCATAGTTCAGCAACGTGCACTGTTTTACCGACCGACCGACGGAGTTGCTGGCCACGTGCTGACAACACAGGACAGATTGCATTCAGGGTCGTGCGAGCGGTATCCATGGGTTCAGTGTTGTCAATGCATGGCCAGCAACGCTGTCGGTCGGCCGCTCGGTGGAGAAATGCTTTTGGATTCAACGACGCAACCGACGACCGACCGAACGCAATTTGTCCATCGATATCAGCACATGGCCATCCAGCGCCGGTCGGTCGGTTGGTCGGTCGATCGGTCGTTGAAGCCTGAAAGCAGCCAAACAATGCATGTCCTTGAACTCTGTAAGCACCTTCTCATTCATCACAACGCCCTTTCTTCTCGAATCTTTCAACTCATTTAAAGGTGAGAACGATACTGAACCTAACCCAAGGTGGATGATTGGCAATAATCTAAATGTTCATCGTATTTTACTGTTCATGGTCAAAGCTCAAGTGCTGCGTGAGTGCGACCATAGAAAATCAGATCAGATTCGAACCAGAGCCCGATACAAGGGCTTAGTTTTTGAAGATTTTCTCAGAATAGAAACGACAAAACGACACACATAATGGAAGAACAACAGTTCATTTTGAAAAAAATCCCCACGATGGTCTGCAGTAGGTATGCCACACAAGAAAAAAAAACATGAAGAAAGAAATTGGATAACTACAAAATGACGGAAAGTTTTCGCCTTATCACCGAATGTTCGTACGGTGGAACTTATTGAAGAGTATTGCTCTAACCGCGAAAGTATTTTGCAAACCACTGCAAGAGAACGTTTATCGAACTATCATCTCATAACGATTTTGGAAGGACAGTTTTCGACTGTAATGTACGATGCTCAACCACACCATGAACGACGACGGGTAAACTGGGAAGGCTTGGTATCACTGTTAGCTCCCACTCCCATAATTGCTAGATCTTAGCCCTTGTGACTACCATGATTCCAGAAAAATAAATGAGTAAACCGCGTCAAGCCCCAACTCTGTGAAGGAATGACATCCGCGATTCGCTAGAACAATGTGGAGACACCGTGGGAAGAGTCCTGTCTTTACTACTGATCTTACGTTACTAGTTGAGTTTGATGCATGATTATTGCGGATTTTTCGCGGCTTCTTTTCTCTCGATAAAATTCAAACATTGATTGGGTTTTTTACAATGATCTCCATGATTTTCTCTACAGAAATATGTCTAGAAAACCATCCGCATCACACAAATTACGCTCTATTACTTCGAGAAAGGTTAGAAGGTGACAGGGTCATTTCGTGATCTCAATAACTTCTCGGCGACGGAACAATCAACCAAAGCCAACTAAGGGATGGGATCTGCTCCAAATCTACCTTGTTTACCGGCAGAAACTTTTATGGATTATTACGTCAACCGTCCGTTGAAAAGCGGTAAGGGAATAGAAGCTACGACGATTTGGATGACTTAATAGCTGATGTAAAAGCGTGGATCGCCTCCAAGGATCATAACTTCTTCGCGTTTGTAATTCGACTACCTTGCCAATGGAAGCAATCCTCGACGTGGATGGTGGATAAGTTTCGAAGTAGTTATTTTTGGAGGTTACTGCTAAAGTATTCCTGGTTATCTTCATCAAAGTATGAGCTAAGTCTACTCCAACCGCGCTTTCAACAAAGTGCTTACGAGTAACAAAGGGCTGTGAATTGCTGTGAATTCAAGTTTTACGAAGAATTAGCAAGATGATGAAGCAATCCCATCAACCCTCTGAGTCAGCTACGTAAAGGCTTTCAAAAACAAGAACGAGTGACTAAAACCGCAAAGGATGTAAATGTAGTTTTTATCACGACAAGATTACCTGCAATTTGTCCAGCTCCGAATGTTGAATATTGGCTCGGGGCAACGCCAGCGGCAGCAGCATATGCTGCATCAGCAGACAAACGACTCACTTGAGTGGCTTGCACTTGTGCCTGAAATTCACAAGTAAGCAGTGAGTGGATGCCGTGCATGTAAGTGACAGTAATTTCAATTAAGATGTACCTGAGCAGCTTGTGCGGCATACATTGAGGCCGCATTCGTAGATTGGTTCCCATATCCGTAAGAAGCCGCAACAGAGTTATAGGTAGCGTATGGATTGGTTGTTGACGACCTTAAATTTTCACAGTTAGTTTTTCTTTACCGAAAGATTATAAGCATTTTTGAATGCCGCAGGCCGCTGGTTTAGGTGGAGAGTGAGAAGAAACAAGCCGCTGCTTTAGATGGAGAGAGAGAAGAAATTTTTAGGCGCCGCTGTGTATGACTAACCCGAACACGCTGCTTGACTGCTGTTGAGCTTGAGAAGCGGCTTGACCAACACCTAGATTTCCATAAACTGCTGCAGCTGCAGCGGCCGCTGTGTAGGCAGATCCATAGTTCCTGAAATTAAAAACAGTTAAATAACACTTCCATGAAACGTCATTGAGTATGGCAATAAAATCATTTGACTTGGGTGCTCAATGGCGGTTGTTCGCTTTTAATTTAGACACCAATTCAGCAAATGTTTTGCAAATGATTAGGCATTGTCAGCAAAAAGTCTATACCCAGCTATCGCACTCTTAATCTGAAACATTAGAGCATCAAAATGGGTCTTCAGGGTGCCTCGCACGACTGCTACATTGACGACTTCGTCGAAATCATTTAAGTCCTCTACCCCGATCGGGTCAGATACGTCGAACGCGAGAAGTGTATCCGAATTACAGACTGCACGATCAAATCACCCCTTTCATGCAGGAATAATGACTAATGCCATAATTCGATTCCACCCGCATTGACAAGAGGCTCAAATATTGGCTTGTCCCGCTGTTTTTAAACATCCTGGGTTTGTCAACTGCTGTATCAAAGATCAAGAACCCAACCTTATAAAGTTACATATTTTCCGAAAGGGTAACCTTCCTCTATATCCCTGTTCGGATTCTATATTCCTCAGAGTCTGTTTCTATGAGACCCACGTTAGCTTTGAGGGCCACTGTGCATTTTCGGCACCTGGTGCTTTTCTTCTACCCAAGGGCGAGGCGAGAATGTTGCTCAAGCCACGAGAAAGAGTTGCGACGTCCAAGTAGATAATGCTATATGGAAACGTACAGCGCGTGAGTAGTTTGCGAAATCTAAACGGTGAATTCACTCTCGAAGAACCGCAACGCTTAGGGAGGCTATCACCAGTTGAAAACGACAAAACAAAATGCAATAGAAACAAATCGGCACATCACTAATCGTAGAATAGAAGTGTGCGTTCCATTTGTGCATATCGCAACTCAGCTCCATGAGGATAAAAGTGAAATATCGTCGATCGTGAAACCTTCAAAGTGAGCCATTTTGAAACTATTGGCCTTGTTAAGAGCCTTGATGTCGTGCACCTCACGAAGAGAGCAAGCGCAATGTGATGGACCGCGTCTCCATGTGCGAATCCGTACTCAAATGAAACAAAAATGAACTGTTCCTGAAAACCATGAAAACGGAGGACGTGAAATATGGGTAGTGAACAACAACGCGGAGGCGAGCCGTCATAAATCCCTCAGACCGCACATGTTTTTGACCACTCATCAAAGCGCTCAGAATGACCAATCGTAAGGGCATTGACTTCCATCAGGATAGCCCAGACCACAGGTATTTTTGGCCACTCGTCAAAAATTGCTGGAGCTTGGATGGGATGCCATGCCACACCCCTCATATAGTTCACACATATCACCATCAAACCACCGCTTGTTTAGGTTTGCGCAGAATTCCTTGAATGAAATCGTTCAATCCGCGGACTGCAAGAAGCACCTAAGATGGTTTTTTGATTCTAACCATACTTCAAGAACCTGAGAAAGCAGGATAATCAAACTCGTAGGAAGGGTTCCAGAGTAATTCCAGAAGGGATCTTAATGTAACGGAAGGAACCTTCACTAAATGTTTTTATTCATTCATGAACGGATCTTTAAGAAAAAAAAGCAGGAGTACTAGAATTCACTTCTAGAAAAACTAACAAGAAACAATTGAGGGAATTTTGCCTAAAATTAGTGTCTATTATTATTATTACTGCTTTAATTACTAAACCCCGTGCTTGCCATCCTTAGATCCCACGAAGAATGTTCCAATTGCTGCGCATTCATCTCATTGGGTTCGGATAAAATTTCAAGCGAATTCTTGTCTCCAAGGTCTTCAAGGTAGTTCGAAATTCTTGATCTGAAGCTCACCATCGATTGCCGGAACATATTATACCATTTGCAGCATTTCTGAGAGGCTAAGACACATGAGATCCCACCCAAAGTCAATCTCTGCTATTTCACCGGAGTGGAATACTCACTATCAGGGTGCCTGCTTGGCTATGAACAGATCGAAGGCACAAAAAAATTCCGGTCTTGAAGGGGGACGATTGGTTTGAAAGGCTCTGCACATTCATACAGCACAGAAGATTAGTATTACTTCATTACTACTGTTTCTATCATTACTATTGTTACTTACAACAATTAAAATTATCGTTAATCAAGAAATATAGCACAGAAATAATCTTACCCGTAATTCCCTTGATTGTAACCGTACATGACAGAAATAGACCCAGAAAAGGGTCCCGGATCCTTAAAAGAGCACTGTTAATAATGATCACAAATAATATGGCGGCAAAATTGCATATTTTACCAGAAATACAAAGTACACAATGTCGAACACAAAGTCTTTCATCTCTGAAGGCGACGTATCCCCAATTATAAAAGACAGGATACAAAGCCTCTAACGACCAGGGGTATTCCTATCGCACAGACGGTGAAACAAAGAACATAACGAAAATATAGCTGCACCAAATAACTAGAAACAGTCTCATCAAATTGGAGTGCGGTACTCAGCGAATCGATCAAAAATGAGCGCGTCTATTGCGAAGATCGATGAGCAGCAGTGATGACAGGAGAACTCGTCCACCATTCAAGAAACTCGTCCATGTTATGCGGGCTCGTCGCGGTCACTCCTACGATGTAGCACTTACCTCCTTGGCTTTTTCCGAAAGGCACAAAAGAGTAACCCAGTGAACTATGAATTCCTTCCATGCTTTGCACCAGGAGAAAGTAGTTAATGTAAAGTCTTCTCCGGAGATGACAGTTCTCCTCAAAGACAAGATCGCCAATGAGACTGCTTCGCATACAACGGCAAAAGGTGATCGACCTGCAGAACTGGTAAGCTCGAGGTGGAGATGAGGCAACCGTTTAGCTTGCCTAATGAAAATGAGTATTGCCTGATGATTCCGGCCGTCTGAGAGCACGTTGATGTTCCTAGCGCTCAGAGATTTTTGGTTAGACAGAAAAGTTTTATGCCTAAGCCTTACAATTAGTAGTGGAGGAGCACCGGTGTGGGTGAGAAGATTTACTCGTGCAAAAAGCTGTGATCAGGTAAGGATTGGACGTTCAATTGACTCACCTACCCTAGTGCTCCTTCGCTCCTATGACTTGGTCAAAAAAACTATGTTTAGCTGTTAAGAAACGTTCTAAGCACCATTGTGGGCCAGCGACTTCTACTACTCTGCCGTCTCTACACTCTAGAGCTCGGTGTTGGAAAGGAGCAGCCCTCCCCCCATGCCCAGAAGCCTGCTACCGTTGCATGATGTACCCCTAGTTCTTCTCTTATGTTCATTCTCCTGTGTTGCTTATTGGATTTGCTTCTACAGCAGCTTTTGGGTGTTCATTGTCCAGCGACGACTTGCGACCGCGAACAAGTTGATCTAGATCTTGATCTCCGGAAGCACACTTTGAGAACCATGGCTGTAAGGTTCTCTATTAAGCTGATTTCTGTTCCTGAGCGTGCTTGGTATTGCGGGTGGTTTCGACTAATGGACAGCTCTTTTTGAACAGTTGTGACGGCGCCAAAAACCTACTTATCCATAATGGATTCAAACCCTGTGGACACACAAATGTTTAGTGAAGCAAAGAGTGAACCCTATTTCTCGAAGTCGAAGTATTAGGTGTGTGTGTGCATTAATTCGAAGCAACGTCAAATTCGAAGGGTCATTGCTCAAACCATGCTGTAGGTTTACCTGTAAAACCTGTCATATTCTGTGAATGGGGTATTGGCCGCCTGTTTGAAGGCAAGCGGATCAGTTTTCACATAGCCCGTTGCTCCTAAACTGAGTGAACATAGAAAGTTATAAGTCGTTTTTCCGGGGGCCCTACTCCTGCTATTTGATTCTAATGGTAAGAAAGCTGCAGGTGAAGCCCAACGGAAACTTTTCGATACTTATGGAGAACAAACTTCAACTGAGCGAGCCTCCACGGGATGGTTTCAACGTTTCAGAAGTGGAGATTTTGACTCAAAAGACAGGGAACGTCTAGGTCAGCCGAAAAAGTTCAAGGGTTTGCAATTGCAAGCATTGTTGGATGAGATCCAGCCCTGCCCAAACAGAGCTGGCAATGGAGCTGAACGTCAACTGTGCAACTATTTCCGGGGGACGGTACGAACGTGCGTCCGAGGACGAGCGCGGCAACTTGCGCGGCGAAGGTCGTGACGATTTGTATAACTCTGACACCAATTTTCTTGGCACAAACTCTAAGTAGAATAGTTTTTTAGGGTCAGATGATCCTTCTGATCTATTCTACTTCAAATTTGGGCCCCAATGATAGGCGCTAAAGTCGTTCAGAACCTTACGANAGTGAAGCAGAGAGTGAACCCTATTTCTCAAAGTCGAAGTATTAGGTATGTGCGCATTAATTCGAAGCAACGCCGAATTCAAAGGGTCATTGCTCAAACCGTGCTGTAGGTTTACGTGTAAAACCTGTCATATGCTGTAAAAGGGGAATTGGCCTCCTGTTTAAGGGCGAACAAATCAGTTTTCCTGAAACCCTGTTGCTCCTAAACTCATTGAACATGAAACGTTATAGGTATTTTTCCTGGGCCCTTCTTCTACTGTTTGATTCTAATGGTAGGAAAGCTGCCAGTGAAGCCCAACGGAAACTTTTCGATACTTATGGAGAACAAGTTCAACTGAGCGAACCTCCACGGGATGGTTTCAACGTTTTAGAAGTGGAGATTTTGACTAGAAAGACAGGGAAAGTCTAGGTCAGCCGAAAAAGTTCAAGGATTCGCGGTTGCAAGCATTGTTGTATGAGATCCGGCCCTGCCCAAGCAGAGCTGGCAATGGAGCTAAACGTCAACTGTGCAACTATTTCCAGACGCTTGCACGCAATAGGAAAGGTAAGAAAGCTCCGAAAATGGGTCCTAACGATCTGTCAGAAAAGCAGCTCGAAGCACGCATGAGGACTTGCAGGAACAACCTTGAAGGCTACAAAAGGACACTTTTTTGATGGATTGTGATGGAAATGAAAAATGCACCTACTATGATAATCCAAAACGGATCAGCAGCATATGTAGACCCAGCGCAAACGAGTTTACAGCCAAAGCGGAATGTCCACTGCCAAAAAGTGGTGCTGTGTATTTGGTAGAATCACAGGGGTATTGTGCACAATGAGCTGCTGAATACAAACGAAACCGTTGCTGCTGACCGCTACGAACACCAACTTGACAATTTTGTAGAAGCTCTCGGCAAAAAGCGGCCTTTAATAGCAAGGAAACATCATAAAGTGCTGTTGCACCACGACTACTTCAGGCCCCATGCCGCTAAGACTATAAATAAAAATTGCAGATCTTGGATGGGATCAGCTTGTTCAGCCCGCATACCCCACGGATCTTGCTCCTTCGGATTACCACTTATTTCGGTCCATGCAAGTTGTTTAGCAGATACATATACACGCTTCCGAAAAACCGAAGAAGTGCGGAAATGGGTTGATGACTAGATTGCCTTGAAAGATGAAAGCTTTTAGGCGTGGAATCAACAAGCCAACAGGAAGATGGCAAGTAGTTGTAGCTAACACTGGTTGTTCACGTTTTGTTTTGATTTTGTAATAAGTGTGTTTTTGCCCGAAAAAAACGGCGGGAATTAATGTACACACCTAATACAACATTCATTTGTATCGGGTGTATGGTCGCTCGCGCACTTGTAGAAAACTTGGCAAAAATATTGCGGCATGAATTTCGCATTATTTTTGTGACAACGTTATATAAACTGCCAAGTCTGTCTGTTGGAGTGCGTCGGTATGTATGTGCCGGTGTACGTGCCCAACCGGAAATTTATAACTCTTACTTCTTTGAACCTAGAGTGTCCAAACTTGGTAGAAAAATAGAAAGGAGGGTAGGGACACTAATGGCAAGACTGAGAGCGGGGTACGCGCGAAAGAGTAATCTGGGTAAAAATACGCAGCCAAGATGGAATAAACGAGGAGTAAAGCAAGACACTTACAATTAGAGACATATGGCTTGCGCAGGACTCTTAGCATGAGGGGCCGGGCGCTCACGGAGCGTGTATGTGCATGTGTATGTGTAGGTACATATGTGTGTAAGTGTGTGTATGGCCGGAAATTCATAACTTCCGTCCTACTCTTCCTGAGCATCCGAACTGGGAATCGATACGGATGCCAGGCCATGTTTGACTCGAAAGAGATGAAATACTAACGTTACTAGGGTGATACGACTGTTAAGCACAAGTTTGATGCGTCTGTTTGGTTGTCTGTGTATTGTTTGTTTGATGTTCGCCTGTCACCACTAATATGAAGCACAGTTGAGATATCCTGCTGTAATGAATTCGTAGGTTGTATGTGGTGCGGCCGTACCTGAAAACCGCTTAGACTGGGCGTTGTAAAATCCCAAAAATTGCATCGTGTGTACCCTCGGACGAGATTTACCGGCATCGTAGAGCCTGCATCAATTGCAAGGAAGCTAATGTAGGGAAATGCAACAAGTTGTCATGACCCATAGTGTTAGTAGAAGGTAGTTCTGTACAGTTCTGGCTTGATGTAGTCAGTTCTTTGCGCAATTGTAACAGCTGAANNNNAAAGTGCTGTTGCACCGCGACTACGTCAGGCCCCATGCCGCTAAGACTATCCATAAAAAATTGCAGATCTTGGATGGGATCAGCTTGTTCAGAACGCATACCCCACGGATCGTGCTCCTTCGGATTACCACTTATTTCGGTCCATGCAAGTTGTTTAGCA